GGTTAAATCTTACCTACATGTTCTCTCCTTCTTATGCTTATTTTGTTTTTCTATCGTTTTTTTGACATCCCTACCAGGGAGGGCTCGGCAGGGGCAGAGACGCGAAAAAGACGCCTGGCAATTTATGCGGGCCGAGCGTATTTCGTGGCAGTTATGAGCGTACCAGCGAAGAAACTTATTTATTTTTGTGGGAGTATTCGTGGCGGAAGAGATGATGCGGCTTTGTACAAGCGTATAATAGATCAACTAAAACAATACGGTGAGGTTCTGACGGAACATATCGGAGATGCCAACCTTATGGAAAAAGAGAAAGGTATGATCAACCACTTACTTTGTCCAACGTGGCCCTTACGGGACATTTATCCCACCCTAACACTCTAATACCCAGCACATTTACAGATTTTTGCACTGCATTGCGTAACATTTTTGTTTGAGTTGTAAAGTCTTCTCCTCCTGCTCCTCGCGTACCTCACCTCACCACGCCTAGAGCTCCGCTCCGTCTCCTATTCCCACGCACCACGCCCAGAGCGTTGTTTTGTTCAATCAATAGGATATGATGCCATACACATCATTAAAGTTGACCAATAGAATTTTGATTATAAAAATACTTTTTTTAAACTTCTCTGGGGAGATTAAGTGTGGTGTCGGCTTGAGTTTGGTAGAGGTGCGCTTTGTCATCACGGAAGATCGAAGGACCGGAAGTGATAAATTGTAGGTCATGATGGAGACAAGGCAAACTTTTGTCCTGGTTTTCTTTTTTCAATCCCAAATTTGCTTGGTTTTCAAACTGTTGTCGACTGTTTTTCCATTATTTTGATGGCTAAATGTTGTTTTTAAAATGAAATCGAAAGTTTTTTTTCTTTTTCAAAAAGTTATGCATCAGTCAATTCCAGCTGCACCCCCCCCCCCCCCTCCCCGGCTGACCCCTGGGCATTAGCATTTTTTTGCCTTGTATGACAAATTCCAGGGGGTGGGGACTCTTGAGCTGTCAAATCCCCCTGGGTGGGGATGAAATAAGAGGGCAAATGGCCCGTCCTCCATCAACACTGTAACATTTTTCATTGATTGCACAGTCAAATAGTGCCATTTTAAACATTTTAATGTTCGATTTTTTGTTTCAAGTAACGTCTTCCTTTGTAATAGCGCTAGGATTCTAATTAAGACTTCATGCTGCGACGACATGCACCAATTTATGGTTTTAGTATTGACATAAAATTATTGACATTAAAATTAATAGAGTGCTGTTAAGTCACATGTTATGAATAGGTCATAAATATGAAAGGATGTTCTTCAAATAATATCAACAGAAATTTGAATCACTAAAAAATGAATCACCAAATTTGAATCACCAAAAAACGTTGATTGACGTCGATAGCTCCCGAGTTTCCCTATGTAATTCTGGCTTGATAAGCAATGAAGAAATGCATGCATAACATCGAGAACATGCCTTTACAACCCCCTGTCCTTGACAGATGAGCTAATCTGCTTTTTTTTCAGTAATATCCTCTGTGTAGTTATATTCTGATAGGAAACTGCATGTGTGTCTTGAGAAAGCTTGGAAATAGCCCCGGGCTTGGCAAATGCCCGGCCACCAGGCAGCGCAAAATTTGCAAATGTGCCCCACCCCCTGGACTAAAAAGGCAGGCAAATGCCCCACAGTAGCCCGGGCAGGGGCTGGGGGCAGCTGGAATTGACTGATGCATTAATTCCATGTTTGCTTGGTATATTTCAGGTAGTGATAAATTCATTCATGATCGCGACGTCGCTTGGTTGTTGAAATCTGACGGTAAGTGTGCAAGCTATCTTTATTTACAACTGTTTTCAGAAAATCTAACAACATTGCAGAACTCGACAAGATCTTGCATGTGCAAGGCCGTTTTTAGGCCCTCAATACTTATATTGTTAAAAAAAACTTGTGCATGCGCCTGCCATACTCTGCACACTGGGGGATACTAACAGAGGTTGGAAACTCCCTGATGGTGCACAAGTCTTAATTGTTTTTTTTGTTCAGAAATTGTGACGGAATAAATTAATACAGCATTTTTTATTAGTCACTAAGATTGAAATAATAGGTATGCCACTGAACACACTTCATAAATATATAACAAAAGAGTCTGATGCACTTTATAACCATTCCGCTCTATTAACTATGATATAAAGATCTAGGGTTACTTTATATTTTCTCTTAGTCCAAACAATGATCTTTATTTCTGTTTTACAGCATTAGTTGCTGAAGTTACCCAGCCTTCCCTGGGAGTGGGATATGAAATAGGCCGAGCAATAGAAAACAAGAAGAAGATTCTGTGTCTGTTTAGGCCTGATAGTGGAAAATGTAAGTTGATGGTCTCATATTTTTTTAAAACTAATACTGTATTATCATCAATCACATTGTGAGATATGTCACTTTTGTTTGTTTTCTATTAGTTCTTTCTGCAATGATCCGAGGAGCAATTGATGACAATGTGGTGGTGAAAGATTACAAAGAAGAGGATATACCTCACATCCTGGAAGAGTTCTTTAAATCTTTATGAAAAACTCAACTGTCTTCTTACCCTGTGCATGGAAAAAAAGGATGCTAGTAGATCAGAGGGGACCTGTTTAGTAACAATTAAATTTCATTGCATTTGCAAGAAATATTTGTTCTCTGAAATTAATCTGTAGACTACTTTAATGCTTACGTTGAAATCTAAGTTAAACCTTTGCACAATAGTATTGGCTGAGTCTAACATTTGGCTATTATGTAGAGTTGGATTGATGGTCCTTTTGCAAGCTATGAAAGACACATCTGTGTATAGAATCCCCGGTAGAAGAACTCTGTTAACAAGTTCTTTGCAATGTAATAACTTTAGATGGAACTTGACATTTGATTGCAAAAAATAATAACACACAGTAGCTAATAAAATGCTATTATAAAACAACTTTTGTTTGGAAGGTAACAGCGTGCAGCAACAAGATGGAATCCATCAGGAAATTTAGTAATTTTAACTTTCAGTGGACAAAAACCTTGTACCAGAATAATTTAAACAATGTCGCATTCTTTTTTACATTTTCAAACGCTATAGATCTAATTAGTTCTCTGTAACAACACCAAAGAAATTTTGTATGGGAGCCCGAGAAAACGAATGTCAAAATTCACAAAATGACATCTTACACATGAAATTTTCAGAATTTTACCTGTGTTTTAACAATTTTTGTGAAATTTGACATTTATTTTCTCATGCTGCAATGAGAAATGGTCTTTGGTGTTATTACAGATAATAAATTATGTCTATAGCCCTTGAAAAATGTAAAAAAGAATGCTGTATTGTTTAAATTATTCTGGTGCAAGGTTTTTGTCCACTGAAAGTTGAAATTACTCAATTTCCTGATGGGTTCTGTCTTAATTTTCTTCCAGGCTGACCCACACAAACCTACCCAAACTAGACTATTCATGGTCCCCTGCTTTACCATGAAATTGTTGAGGTCATTTCAGAAGAGTTCAATTTGCCCATGGGTAAGGGGGTTGGCTGTGGTAAAAGGCACCCCCACCCCCCAAAATATTAGACCATACCTTATTACCCATGGACAATACATTAATTTTGTGCTCTTACCAGTTTTTGTTCTCCAAAAGAAATCAAGCAGCAGTTCTCCAACTCAGCAATCTCAACAGTCACACAGAAATAAGGGCAATAAGTTAGAATATATACAAACATTATCATCTTTACTCATAACACCTTTTATTGCACACTAGTTTCAAAAATGAGTGTCCATATTTGTGGAAGTTTTGTCTTTCCACCTTATGTGCAAATGAAATCTGTTGACCAACATATATTCACTACATTACACAATAAGTGTATTTTAATACAATCATTCTCGTGTGGTTCCACAAAACACTTAGGACTAAATTCATGTGATTCATTTTATTTTAACACAGAAACATTAAATAACTGTTATGAATAACTGAAAAGTATGGTCAAATTTTCATTATAAACACTAAAGGGACAGAACCATTATATGAGGGTTGTCTATTACTATTAAAGTATGGTGTTGTGTATTTACAAAGCATTAATTGGTTCACGTCAAGCAGTGTGCATAGACAGTGGTTTCATGTTTTTCTTTAGTATGAAGGTTCCAAGATGAGAGGTTTAATAATTAAACCTGAATACAATTATTGTATTAAAGACCTGTATAAGTAATACAAAGAACTACCAAAACGAATTAATCTGTAGTTATGCTACAAACATTTGCCCAGGAAAATTGAACCACTCACTTAGACTAAAAAGACTATACTTTCCAGGTACGCCTTACTTCAAAAATATTTTTTGATTGAATATTGTTTGAACAATTTGTTGAAGTGTACCTGGGTAATAGTGTAAAGTGTAACCTTGGTCATGAGGAAATGGAATATACTCTCAAAAAGGTTAACTTTCTTTTCTACTTTTAACATGACTTACGGCATTTAGTATGACAAAGTTCTATTATATTTTTCTACTTTACTTACATTGTTGAAGATAATTCAGCACTTGACTCCAAGTAAACACAAATAACTTGATAACACAGAAAAATACTGTATAATCTATTCAGCAGCCAAACCACATATCAATTTTCCTCTTTGAAATGCCAGGGATTACAACAGAGCACATTCTACCCCATTTTCTGCTGCCTTTTTATGTAGCTTAGGTAGGGTTGTACAAACATAACTTCACGTAACAGCTTCTTTTACTGTGTTTTAAGTAAAAACTATCACATTCCAGTACTCTTTGATGACTTGATCCGATAAGTAATAAAATTTCTTTAACACTTTATCATTCAAATGACATAGTTTTTCTCAAAAGAAAGGGTGGACCGTATAAACTGGCTGTACAAACTATCTTCTGGAAATTTAAAGTCTATTGTGGTGTCAAGTATAAAAGTAATACAACTGCAGCAATATAAGCTCTATGTGTTATGATAGACCCTTGAAAGGAGACGCCAGAACATTACTTTTATAGCTCTATCACCTTCGCCCAGGTTACTTTCCAAAACACTGTTCTACCAAGGTGATAGACAACAAAAGCATGTTTAACCCAATCTGCAATAACCTTGAAAACAAATACCAACAATCAACACCTTAACTTTCCACCTTCAAAAACTTATGCTTGGCTACTAAAGCTAAAACTGCATTTGATGTGGTACAACACTGATAAAATGTAAGTTCTGATAGCTGATTTTACATGTACAGTCAACTCTTTCTGAGACGGACAACTTGGGGACCTGCAGTATGTGTCCGTCTTAGAGAGATGTCCGTCTCATAGAGAGTTAAATAAAGGTAGTAAAGAAAGGCGGGGACCAACTCTAGGTGTCCGTTTTACAGAGGTGTCCGTCTTATAGAGGTGTCCGTTAAGAGAGAGTAGACTGTACGACAGGTCTACATCAGAGTTAGATCTATGGCTAAGAACAGAGCTCTACATGTTCAAGTCTAGTTTATCAAAAATAATAAAATTCAACCGGGAATGCAGTTCTTCACTTTAAACACTGTCCTGGATCCTGTGGTCTTTCAGCAACAGGAGCTTTGAATTTTTGTCTCAATTAAACAGATCATTCACTTATATAAATTTGCATTTCTGCAGATTGAAGAATGCACTCTGTATTATTTTTCCTCTTCATTTTAGCTAATGCTGCAAATACAGTACTTTTGTGTATGATCTTCTCAGAAAAAGGTGATTTTGGATGAAAGATCTCTTAGATCTATGTATGGCTCTTTTACGAATGGAAATGAAATTTTTATAGGACTGAGAAGTTTTAGTACCTGACCATGTTGCTTATGAAGCAAAATTGTACAAAAGGTGCAGTAATTATACTAAGAATCAACTCGTTGTCCCTTGATCTTGGCTACATATTTCTTTACGAGAGATCGGATTCTCTCAGGGTCTATGGCACTGCTTGAGTTTGTCACCTAAGAAAAAAAAGAAGACACAAACTCATGATCAAGTTATGCATAGTACAAGTATTAATTTTTGCCATTTAACAAATGAATCTGGCTTTCCTTTATTTGAGAGTTGTTTCTGTATCATCTCTGACGTGTTAAGGATTTCATTTCTACACTTCCATGATCCAGGTTCTCTGATGTACATGTAAGGATGGGTGACAAAAACATAATGCTCCAATGATTGAGTTCAACCACATTTTTGTTTTGTTTGACCAAAATGGTGACTTAGCCAGACATATAATATATTACCATACAATGTCTCTAAGTACAGTATTAAATATCATATTTGTCCCTTGGCAAAGTAAATTTAGAAAACATCATGGAAAGTGGATGATTGTGACAGAGCAATATTTACACAAGAGGGGACACCAGTGTGGCAGCTCTAAACAAAAGCTCTATAAGTTTAGGTACATATTTCTCTGGGGATCTTGCATGCAGTTGTGGAAAAGCGTACAGACCTGAAACTTGGCATGACTGTTTGCATGTTTATCTTTGACGTGTTTACCAGATTCTATTTTTACTGTTGATTGGATTAAGTTTTTTTATGCTTCAACAGTGAAAACCAGCAATACAGTGTGCACAAGTATTGATCTGTGAGAACATGATAGCTTCTAACCTGCATTTAGTTACTGGGAGTTGATCCTAAGATTAACAGATCATCCTTGCATGACTAAATAAAACTTAACCAAGAAATTCAGTAACAAACCTGTGGAACAGCTCTTCTCAGTATACTCTTGTACTCTTCCTTGTTAATATCTCTGTGCTTGTAATATGCTTTGAGAACATGCTTGACTTCTTCTTCTACACGAGCTTGTCGGTGAAGCTTATCTATCAGTTCCTACAATTAAAAGCAAAACACAAGATACCGTTCCTTGACTGACAGACCAAAGAAATGTCAAATGCACAGAACTCTCATTATAAAATTGTAAACATGTCTCAAGTGGGCAATTTTCAAATACGAAAACCAACTATAAATCAATGGATCATGATGTTAATTATATGGATTCAATGGGGTAATTTAAAGCTCAATAATAGAAGTGTGCTTAGAAGGCTCTAAGTGACTCCTGACCTGATGCTAAATTCTCCATTTGATTCACAAGTGCATGTAAGTACAAGACAATAGTTATTTGGAAGTAATTTACCCAAGTCAATTAGGGCTTCATTGCAATTATTGCTAGACCAGCACTTTAGGAAAATTGTGAATCTTGGAAATTTTTCAGCCAGTCTTGAAATCTAAGAAGCAGTTCTGATGAATTGCAAAGTCTTACTTCTGGGGTTGTCAAAATAGCTGGCAAACACATAACCTGCTTTCAATTTTTGGTTAGCTAATCAGCTGGGATATTGAAGTTAAAACGGTGAATCAGCTACCTACTTCAAAACTTACTGAAAATCCTGCAATTTGGTGTTTAGTTTTTCATTTCATGGCTATGACAATTGTTTAAGGCAAGGTCATCAGTGTTCTTACCAGAATGCAGCAAGCGCAAGGGGTCAAAAGGGCGCAAAGAAGGAAAAAAAACCTATTACAAAACCAGGGTTCTATCTAGGGTATTTGACAAGGCATACCCCCGACCCCCCTAGAAAGCTCATGGCCTTTTGGTTACTCAGGGACTTCTCCTCCAAACAATAAATCCTAGATAGAACCCTGAAAATGTCCAAAAACATTTGTACATTTCCTTATAATATAAGCCAAAATTTATTTGGTTATTCCGTCTTAACTCTAACTCAGAGCTGTAGAACGTTGAGTTAAATGTATGTAAAAATTGGATATTTATCATCCATTTACTCTAACTCAGACCTGTGAGTTAAACATTCAGTTAACTGTATCTAAAAATTGTGACCCATTTTTCTCCCTCATGACCCCATTTTAGCTTCTCTATGGGTCCTATAGACCCCAGGGTGGAGAACCCTGGTAAGAACACTGGGTCAATGATTTATAAACACAAGTGTCAGCATCTTGGCAAGTTTACAACTATTGAAGCTTTACTTTCCAACCTTACATTTACCTGAACTTTTGTCTTTTCCTTCTGCTGTTGCTTCTCTTTCTTCCTTCTTTCTTTGGGATCAGCTATGTTATTTAAATCTTCATATTCTTCACCAATAATCAACCCACTTTCAGGCTCGTACGGCTCCTCAAACGAGCACTGTTCATTTTCTCCAGACTCTACTGTAAAACCTTCTCTTGATTGTCTTCCCTCCACTTCTGCTTGATTCATTCCAACTGGCTTCTGCTGGTGTTGTTGCCTCCAAAACTCTTCATTCATACGGTCAATAATGTCACCTTCAGGTGATGACATTTCCATGTCCATGGGACTCACGTTAACATTGTTTGGTGCTTTATTTATCCTTGTGATAGATGACTGTATAATATCTTTTGCTCTTTGAAGTTCATTTTGTTTTTTGCCTGTACCAGCTAAAGGAGAAGAACCTTTAATGTCCACCTGGGACTTGGCTGGGTGAACTTTGCTACTACCTACAGGAGGTTGGGTAGATGGTGCTTCATCTAGAAAAGGTATAACTTCCAACTTAGATTGCACAAAAGCTGATTTGTTAGTATTATTTGAAGCTTGTGATGACTCATTGTCACTGTTTCTCTTTTCAAGTTGGTCGGGTTTATCTTCAAAGACAGTTTTTGCTACTTCTGCTGTCTTGGAAGCAGAAATATTTTGGCCATTAGCTTTGATGGCAGACTCTGCAGTATTAGAACTAGCTTGCTGTATTCTGGAAGAACCATCTTGGTTTTCTTCTTTTTGCGGAACATTATTTTTCTCTCTACCAGTTTTTACTTTTTCTGCTTTCTTTTCCTCTTTCTTTGCAACAGGCTCTCCTTCATTTTTCTTGCTACATAGAATAAATTGTAAAGAATAATAATAAAAAAAAATCATTGACAGTCCAAAAAGTGTTCAATATACAAGTAAGTTGCCATAACAGTTATTGATCAGTTACCATTCTCTTTCAAATTTAAAACTGATTGTGAGTGATTTATTTTTCTCCCTTTCTCTATCTCTCTTTTTTTACTTCCATGTATTACAAAAACAAACTCATTAACATTCCAAAACTCATATTGGTTACCATTCTCTATCAAATATGATTGACCATATGAGTGATTTAATATTTTCGTCTTTCTTTCAGTTTCTCTTTTTTGACTTTTCATAAATTTAAAACTTTTCAAAAACAAGGTCTCTTATGGAGACATAATGTAGTTCTAACTTTTCACGTAAAAAAATCAGTTGGCGTTTATACCCTTTAAGTACCAAGAAAGACCAACATGAATTTTCTATTTAACCCGATCAATATGCAATCAAGAAAAAGGGTTATGAGAATATCTAAAATGATTACCTAAGGGAAAATGCCTTGATTTTTTTGTCATATTCTCTCAATTATTCTTTAAGGAAATGCATGTAGGTAAGTCTGGAGAATTTGTATGTGCATACTTGGGCTTAGAGGGTGAAGGGGAAAATAATAGCTTCAGTTTACCAGTGATTTTGTCACAAATAATTGTCATGGTGAGTCCTGGGACTCATCTTGCAAAAAATTGTGAGTCCCAGTTAAAAAAAAAAGAAATGAGTTTGATATTGAAAAATAATGCTTTGGCCTTTATGTAACCAGACATGCACAGGTAATCTGAAGAATTACTCAAAAACTCTGTATTACAGTATACTGAAATTAAAATATAGAGGTTATCTTAAAGCAGAACAAAGGCTAAAAGAAATGTGCATCGTTAAACAACAGCCATAATAACTGCCACAGAAATTACACGAACAGGATATTAACCAATACACACGTTCAGATCAATCGATTGATCTTTGCATCCTACGGGACACATGCTATGAATCATTTTGCGTCTTTGGGGATTTTTATGCGTCAAGGACGTAGGACGCAGAGGTAACAAAATCACTGCTTTACTAGTTTTGACTTCTATTAAGGAGCTACCTAAGGTATTATTCTTGTGCAAGATGCTTATTTGCATCTAGAATCTTGTTCAAGTAGTGAACAAACTTTGTTTGCCTGTCAGTTAACTTTGGGTTGTTTGGATCTCACTTTTTAATGAGTGTAATTTGGTAGCCTCATTAGCTTGGCTTGTCTGTTTTTATTTTTGGTGACTTCTGATAATTTTCTAGATTTTTGCTGCAAGTTGTGCTGTATTTGCTTGTGAAAAAATGAGAGCTTGTCATTGTGTAATGTATCTCATGTACAAGTGTAGAACCTTGCTCCACACATTTGAAGGAAAAAAAAACAGTTCTCTAATTAAAGAAACAGCATGGGGTCTCCAACTGGATCATTCCTCTTAACCCTTCAAAGCCCAATACAGGTATCTGCAAACATATCAGAGACCTTTCGCATCAGGTTTTTCATCACCTGACCACAGCCTTGCGGACAGGTTTGCAGTTTGCAGTTTGCAGTTCACGTTTGAACTGCAGGGAGGGCTTCCAGCCATAAGTGATTTACGACAAGGTTTTTGGGGCTAAAAATGTGTTTGTTGGATTTTTGATCTCGAACCAATGAATTATTCCTGTTTTTTGGGCGATTAAAGTGATGCACTTCGACTTGATGAAAAACAACATGGAGGCACTGAACAATGAAATCGATTTTATATTCCTTTCTGCTGTACAAACAAAAGAAGTATTCTGTTCCAATCCAGAGTTAAATATATTTTTCTATCTTGTTACTGAATTCATAACTTACTCAGTCTCTGTTTAGTTCCTATTTATAATGTATCACTCCGCGAAGTTCCTTTTATTTTACTTATTTCTTTGTGACTGGGGAGCCCAAGGTTCATAAGCCTTCTGGTTTCTTCTGGGCTCCCTTGCAACCTTACAATTCCTATAATTATGTACTCTTCTATTGTACTATATTTTGGCTAAATAGAAATGAACTGAACTGAACTGAACACCTTGCTAAAATTTGAAATTTGAAATTACAAACCCACACCGGCAAACTGCGGTTTGCGGTTTCCCATGAAAAACCTGACGCTAAAGGTCTCTATTCTCTAGACTGATCCCCATATATTTCCTTAAAGAATTACATGTGGTTGGCAGAATTTGACAAAAGATCCAAGTCTTAAATACTTTTCCTTAGCTGATCATTGTATTAATTCTCGCAACCTTTTACCTTGATTGTTGCGAGAAAATTGATGATGGTCATACATGAGACTTACAGGGTCATACTACCTCTGTGTCTTACCTTTCCACAGTTATTGGTCTTTTGAAATCAGGGGTTTTTGCCTCTGATCCAAACAGAACATCCTCCATGCTCTTCTCAGTTCCTTGCCTGGGTGACAGGTGCTCTGTAAACACAAAGTCAAATTCATCCTCCCAAGGTTTTTCTGGACTATACATAGGTGAAAACTGCTTTTCTACATCTGTGACCACTTTTGGTGGAACACTGGGCTCACTTTTCTTTTCAGAAATTGGCGATGGCTTTTTAACTGGCTCGTTGCTGTCAGGTTCAGATTCCTCTGGTTTATTTGTCTTTGACAGAGGTATGTTGGTGAAGTGACCTGAGTCCAAACTATCTGAGGCTGACGATGTGCGATGTGCCGGCTTAACAGGTGTGGATTGACTTTGCTTTCTCTCTCTTTTTCTGGCAGATTTATCTTTTCTTGATGGTGAACTTTCTCTGGGTGATTTTTCAGGGGAAGTTCTCCTTCTTTTGTCTGGCGAATATGACCGTTTATTGGGTGACCTACTCCTTCTGTGTTCAGGAGACCTCTCCCTGCGTTTACGAGGTGACTGGCTTCTTGACACTTTCCTTTTCCTTTTTGATGGAGAATCTCTCCTACTTCTAGAAGTTGATGACCACTTGTGTTCTCTTTCTCTTCTCCTGTTACGTGGTGAAACACTTCTCTTTGGAGATCTACTCCTGGATTTAAAGTCCTTATTTCTATTTGGTGCAGAACGTCTCCTGCTAGATGATCGACTTCTTGATCTCCTTGATTTCTCTCTAACATATCTTGACTGTTTCCATTTATCTTGTGATCTGCTTCTGCTATGGACACGATACCTTGAACTCCTGTCCTTGCTCCTATCCTGGCTTCTACTCCTGGAGTGCTTAGAAAACCTGCGTTTCTCCGAACTTTCTCTACTTCTACCTCTGACTGATTTTCTCTCTTTCTTCTCATCACCTAATTTCACAAAATAAGGATATTACAATAAAAAAATGTATGCATTTGTAGCAGACTGCAGCTCTTGAAATGTATGGGTAAACAATTCACTTAAAACAATATCATAGATAAATTTACTATGGGAGAGAAACAGAACATGCATAAAATTAAGATTTAAATAAAGTGTAATAATCATTCTCAGGTATACACCTGGTATGGAGGAGAAATTACTGTTTGTTGGTAACAATGTTCTCCCTAAATTTTAGCTCAGCAGGCAAGAGATCATTCATAGCCGTTAAAACAAAAAAAATATGTGCCAGAGGTGCACTTTCCTGGAGAAGGGGGGTAGTGGAGTGCGTGGAAAATTTAGGAGCTAAGTTCTATGAAATGTCACTCCCTCATTTTTAAGACCTTATTTATGCATATATCGGCCCTTGTTACCTTTACACAACAATTTAAAATGATTGATTCCAATAATTTGACTCTGTCTTCAATGTTTTCTTTCCAAAATGTGTGACCCATAAAAACCCGAAAAGCTATGTATACTTAAGTACTTTTCTGTATTATATTCACTCATTTCCTTGTGGTATGTGAGAATCGGATTGGAACACAACTTGTGTATTTTTTAAAAGCACTTCTTTAATCTTAGTAAACCTTCAGGCCGTTGCAGGCAGTAAGAAGTGTTGCTTCAGGCAGTAAATTGTACTGGTTACCACCTGATAAGGAGAACACTGTGGTAATCTCAAAGTAATTTCCATTGTAGCATGCTAAATTACACTGTGTAATTATTGCTCTTCAATTTTAAGTTTTAAGGTGGCACTCCAGCACCGCCAAGGGGCGCCTGGTACCTTCTTTTTGCACCCAGGCAACTAGAAAATCTAGGTTTTTACACAGAAATGGTTCTATGGGCACCCTAGATTTCACAGGTTCAAAAAACTGGGCTCCCTTCAATTTTTCTTAGAGCACAACCTTGAGTTTCCTTTGATTTATGTATGATAATAAACATGCATGAGAGAAAAAAAAGCAAAGGAAAAAACGAAGACCAGTAAATGTAAGTGGTACAATAACAGGGAAATACGGGTAACATTGAACAACAACATTTAACACCAATGCCTGCATTTTACTTTACCTGTGACATCTGAATCTTTTTTGTCCCCTGAATACTTTTGTTTCTTTCGTTTTTTCTTTTTCTTCTTTTTATCCTTCTTTTTGCTTTTATCCTTTTTTGAGTCTTTTTGTTTTATGGAATCCTTTCTGTCCTCAGATGACTGTTCGCTATCACTGGAATCAGACTCGGCAGAAATTTGTCCTTCTTCCTTGCTGACACTTCTTTCCAATTTAGCTTGTCTGGTATCTTGCATAGCATGAGAATCACTGTCGTTTTTATCTTCTACTTTCTCTTCAACAAGTGAAGAATCTTTACTAACTGCAATAGGCAGTTCCTCTAAAACTTTGGTCATGTCAGATTCAGCTGTCTCCAGAGGTTTATTCTCATTAATTACTGTCTCACTGACAACATCCTCACTACCAGCATCTTTACTACTTGCATTTTCTAGCGTCTCTTTAGATTTATCCTGTCTAACTTTAAGTGCATTTAACGCTTCTTCTTCGGTGTCATTCCCACTGTCAGCATACTCACCAAGAAGTAGCAACCCTGGTTTGCGTTTCTTAGTTCCTGCTGCATCACTAGCTGAAGTATCCTTTTCTGTATTATTCACATTCTCAGAGTCAGTGTTTAAAATGTCTTCTTCATATAAGTCCATAAAGATGCTTTTGCTTGATGTACTAGGTATCTGGTAATTGTCCTCCGATGTAGAGCTCACCTCTGAAACTTGGCCAGTTATCACAGTATTGCTTTTTGTAACGGAACTAGTTGTGCTAACATCTTCGATTTCTTCCTCTGCGTACAATGATATGATTGGGTCTTTTTGACTTAAGTGTTTTGTAAGTGTGTCATCCTCTTCCATACTTGATTCCAAGCTGCTGCGGTGAGATATTGTGCAGTCCCTTGTCTATGAGAGATAGCAGGTGAGATAAAAAATGAGGGAAAAACTCCGACAAGGAATAGTGAAAAAAAAAAAAATAATAATAGTAAAATAAAATGAGCAAGGATAAAATAAAATGGTTTTCACCTTTATCTGTAAAGATAATCATAAAAGCCAAAATTAAGCCTTAATTAAAGCGCTTCATATCGTTTCGTACAGCAAGGCAAATGCATAATTTATTTTGTTTACTCAGCCGATCAGTTACCAAGAATTAAGAGCAATTTTAGATCAACCTTCAGTCGAAGGGCACTTCTGCCGTAGAATTGAGAGATATTCCAAACCAAAACACAAACTAAAGACTTTCGGTGACCTTGAAAAGTGCTCGATCGGCTACATTTGACGATCAGGTGCTTTGGCCAGTATGCTCCAAAACTGCTGTTTCAATCGTCTCTTGGGGTCTTAAAGTTAAAATCGAACTTTTCTTTTTTAAAAAAACGGTTACACTCACCTGAACACACACCAACTAAAAGCTAGTCAATGCAGGAGTCACGACAGCTTTTCCGGGGAACTTTCCAGACTGCACTGAAAGTCGCCATGTTGGAAATGAAGCTGTCCCAGAATGCACTGGAGTGCTTTTTGTATTGCCTTCCGCCGCCGGGTCCGTGAATCGAAGGCGTTTAACGGGGTCAAAAGGCCCTTTTGTAAATAAGAAATTTTCCACTCTTTAAATTTTTGAACAAGAAACGCTTGAGCAGTCAAGCTTTAATTACTTTATTTACACTCAGAGGTCTTCAGAACCTATCAGATTAGAAAAGTTAGCTTTCGTGAGAAGCTGCGTGCCATTATTAGCAGCGTTCAAGGTTCAAATTGGCTGCTCACTTGCTTCGTTCAACTTAAAGGTACGTCTTTTAATATTTCCTCAGTTCAAAGGTAAATTTTCAGCAGCATTTAGCGCCGTACGTATGTAGTTATGTGTATGTAGTGTCATCGCATCATACTATTCATTAAAGACAATAGGGAGTTCACGCTGTTAGTTGCATCATGGGTAATCAGGGCAAGATGGCGGGAAATTCCTAGATTTGTATGAGAATTAAAAGCCAGCTAAGAAAACCTCGATTTTTCCATACATAATTTCTGTAATTTTGATACTGTCGAATTACAGAAACTTTATTCAAAAATCAAGGTTCTCTAGAAGCTGATCTATGGGCCTCTTTGCACTCCAGATTTAGTGTTATTTGTTTCTTTGAAATTAAACAATTGTTAATCTTTTCAAAGCGAAAGCATCAAATATATGAATTCAGGAAGAATTAGCTGGCTTTGAATTCTAATACAAATCTTTGAATTTCTCGCCATCTTGCCCTGATTACCCATGATGCAACCATGAGCGTGATCTATGGTACCCATTATATTGACCCCTGCCTGTGAACTCATTGTTCGTTTCATTGGATATTATGAATTCGAGAGCAGATCCTCACGAAACTTGGGGGAAACTTACTAATGGGGAGATCCAAACAAGATTAAAAATTGCACCATAAGTAAACTTACTCATATTCAGGATGACAATGCCACTGAACACATAAGCACGAAAACCTACACTGATCAACAGATCCCCCTGGAAATTTTCCCGAAAGCTAGTCAAGCCATTTGTTGGTTAGTAGTGCTTACATGTACATGGGGACAATGATATTCTCATGTGCAGTTACAGAGAAAAAGAAAGTTGTTTTGTTGCAGACGCTTGCCTCTGGCTACAGGTTCCAATAACTTTTTCCCACTGAATTTTTGAGCTATTTTGAAAAAATAGCTCATATGTCAGTGGTGTGAGCGTATGTATCTTTGTGGCTTTGTATCTTTGTAACTTTGTATGTTCGGATGTTTGTTGCAAGAGCCAATAAGGTTGAAGGTACTATGAGTTGATGCTTAGGAACCAATGAGATCTTGGCATCTACTTAAAAATGATATTGCCAAAGGTCGAACAAGGGCACTTTAAGACCGCCATCTTGATTCTTCACAATTTTTTCGTCTTTTATTACGGCTACAGGTGTTTGGAAACATTATATTAAATATCTTCATGATTCAAACGCTGTGTACAGTGATGCAGCTGTTTAAGGGTTCATATTTTAGTGTGGATGCTACTTCAAGACATTTCTGACCGAATTCGGCTATCGCGAAC